TCTGGGGAAGAGACAACCCTTCACATGAATTGCCTGGAATTGATTGTTGGAGCATTTGCGATCCACAGCTTAGCCAATTACATGTCTGATTGCTGTATTCTCCTCAACATGGACAATATCTAAGCGGTTTTATACATAAACTGCCTGGCGGAGCCTGCTCTCGTACTCAACAGAAGCAAGGAGGGACATTTTGCCTTCCACGCAGCAGCACTCTCCGAGCAGAGTATTTTCAGAAGATCACCAACCTCACTGCGGATTGGTTTTCTCGCCAGTGATTGGCGACTGGACACCTTTGTGTTTACCATGATGCGAATGGTCCGGCTTCCGGACCCACAATACAAAGCAGTGAACGCATTTCTCCAACCTTGGCCAACACATATGCGTTGCCACCTTTCTCGATGTTGGCGAGAGTCCTTCATCGTCTTCGCATCACAGAGACCTCCATGACATTCATCACGCCACTACGGCAGAGTCAACCGTGGTTCCCGGACCTACTGGCTCTATCTCAGGACCATCCACTGCTCCTTCCATCGTTTTCCCTTCTCCTAACGAACCCACAAAGATAACCTAGGGACTGCTTGGAACTTGTGACGTGGTACAACAAGCAATTCTGTCTGCATATGTCAGTCAGGCAAAATATAAAAATATAAAATGGGATCACAAAGACATTGCACTTGGTTCATGGCCCCAGTGCTATTCAGCCCTTTTTGTCTCATGACCCTCTAGCTCTGCTAAAAAGGGCTCATGCTGGCAGTTTAATGACTCCTCGTGTAAAAGCGGCAGCTCAGGTTGCAAAGTAATAACATAAGTATTTAAATTTTTATAGTATTCAGTTTTTCTATACTACATAATCTACATCTGATTGAGCAATATTTTATATACAGCAATAAATGTAATCTTTCTTCAACTCTTAGCAATCATTTTCTAACACTGGCTATATAAAATGACCTGTAGCTGCTAAACACAATCACCATTATTTACTAAAGTGAGAATTCAAAGTGAATTTAAAATTTTAGACCAAAATCCAGGAACTGTGATTATAGCTGGCTTGGATAATTATTCCAATTCAGCTATTTGGCCATAAAATTTAAATAATCTTTAAATTCACTTTAGTAAATAACCCTGAGTGTTTCCTGTCGCTCACTTCAGGGGTTAATTACATAATGTGACCTGTTTGCAATAGTATGGAAAGCTGCATTTTTAAATAGGTTTCCGAATTGTTTCCTTTTTTAACTAAAATTTCAGGCATACACAATTGGAGAACCAATTGTCTCAAAAATGTTGTCTAGTTTCCTTCTGAGGACAGAGTCTGCATTAGAATTCCATATTCCCAAAGAAAATAGCATAGCGTTGCCAGCTTCTCTAAGTGGGTTTTTAATAGTGTTTATGGTGTATCCTACTTATATTCTAGAGTTTCAGTGAAATGTAAGTAAATACATTTAGAAAATGTTTAACTAAGAACTGTGAGGAAATGTTTAACTATGAAACCTGCTTCATATTAACATTCCAGTCACTGGTTTCATAAGCTTCTTATTATAGCTACACAAAGATTTATTTTGTGTCCTTCCTGAAGGTTCTGTTAGATTTATGTCAGCCTACTTACTACATATGTTTATATATTTTTGTGTAAAAAACCTGGAAATTTCCTAAAGTGCCACATTGAGTGTGTGATGTTCATCAATTTTCCAATAAGCCATTGGATGAAGGTGGTTAGGAGAGACATAGGTCAACTTCAACTCCCCCAGGCAGCATTACACATTAAGATCATGTGATCTGGTGAATGGTGACATCTGGGTATAATTTCACTAAACTATTAAGCTTGTATCATCAATGTGTTGTACACACTTAGTCATGTACATGCACTTCCACAGATACACACACACATGCATACACACATTTATAAACACAAACATTGTACAGCATAAATTAACTAATTTACAGCATCAATTAATTGTACTAATGTATGCCACAAACATGGGCATGTGACATAAAACAGCTTTCAAGCAAGAGGGGAAGGAGTTGGAAAACGACAACAAGGTTTTAATTGGTATGTGTAAAGTCTGAGTAACCCCTATTACAGATTAACTCATAGATGGTTGCGCTCATTTAAAGGGACACTCTAGGACCAATGCTACTTCAGCTTAATTAAGTGGTTTTGGTGCGTATAAAAAAATTTGGTTTCTCAGAAATGGCAATGTTCACATTTTTCTAAAACTACACTTCTGGTGATTTAGTAGACAGCCATTAGAGGGTTTTTTTCCTCAAAAATTTCTAAAATCTAAGGTCCATTAGTTGGGTATTATCAAGCCTGGGCTTATGTTGCTGAACACTCTTAATGACCCTCACTGAGAAAAATTTGATTGGTGGAGCAGAGCAAATGCCACACATCTATCATAGTTTCCCACTGTTTCTCTATAAGAAACATTGAAATGGAGATCATTACACAGAAGACAGAGCACATACAGTTCAGGATAGGCAGTTGCCTATTCTGCCTATTGGGAAATCCAGCCCTGCCTGAAGCAAGGCTGTAAATTAAAAGCTGTTCACTTTGTGCTGTTGGGACTGAGACTGTGTGCATACTTTTGCTAAGGAAGAGTTTCTGGCACAAGGCGGTGTAGCTAAGGATGCAGGTTTATAGCGCAGAATTCTGTAAAACATTTTTTAGAGTACACTGCAATTTCCCGGTGATGAACAGTTTGTTTGCATCACGGAGATCCAGAGTAATAAAACTCATAATAATATGTAATGTGTATGAGCTCCACAGAGCTCTACAGCAATTAAACTGAAACTAATATGCACTGTGTAAGAGTATGTTATAAAGTTCCAGTAAAGTAGAATATGTATAAATGTATCACAACTCAATAGCATTAGCAATACATTATAACTTGGTGTGTAAAGATATCCCCTAGCTTGCAGTATTATATATGTGCTACAATATTGTGATTTACTACATGTGTAGAGTTGGGGGGGGGATTACCTTTTAAGGTGAAGTCTCCCACATGCAGTCTTCCAAGGTTTCAGGTATAGCCTTTCCATACTTTTCTCATAAAGTAGGTGCCTACGTTATGGAAACTTAAGAGGGAAATAAGGGAACAAAACTGGTGTGGACTGGCTGAAAATTAAATTAGTTAAGGTGAAGCTAACTTTGCACACTTCTTCGGTCTCTCTAACTCTGTCGCATGTTCCTTTTCTTCTACACTCACTATATACACATTTTCTCTGTCCCAGACTGTAAAACAGGAGCTTCTGCCTGTTAGAAAGAAGATTAAGAGAGGAGTGGACCAGTGAGTGCTAGGAGACAGTCCTTAGAAAACATAGCATTAGAGCATCATTAGACGCATTTATGCCAAGCTCAGGGTGCTGTCTGCGCAGTATGCTCTTGGTTGATCATCCTGCATCATTGGTAGGCAGCCTGACATTCATTCACGCCAGACTGATAATCTAATTCTTCGCGCAGACATGCCCCCTTTTTGGGCATGTTTGTCCCTTTGGGCAGTTCTGGTTACGTGATTCACATCAGTGGTTCACCCTTTTACCCCGCCCATCGAAATGTTGCTTCAGCAGACACTGCTGATAGGGGCTATGGATTTACTTGAAAGATGAAAGCGAGAGATTAGCATAGGCAATGTGTTTTCTTATAGCTATATCCTGTGAATTTTCCTTCCAGCACCACCTCCACCACTTACAAAACGCTTGCGAGGCATAACTGTTTTAGTGTTTTGTGTCGTTAAGATTCTGCAATTAGACCTATCATAATTGTCAGCACCAGGCCCAATGGGCTCTTAATCCGGCCCTGGCCCTGATTTCTTTCTTCAGAGCTGGAAAATGTCAAGAATAACCTTAGCATGTTAAAATAGTTTTATATTCTCAAGTTAGCAATTGACTTAGAAACATAGAATGTGATGGCAGATAAGAACCATTCGGCCCATCTAGTCTGCCCAATTTTCTAAATACTTTCATTAGTCCCTGGCCTTATCTTATAGTTAGGATAGCCTGATGCCTATCCCACGCATGCTTAAACTTCTTTACTATGTTAACCTCTACCGTCTCAGCTGGAAGGCTATTCCATGCATCCACTACCCTCTCATTAAAGTAATACTTACTGATATTATTTTTAAACATTTGCCCCTCTAATTTAAAACTATGTCCTCTTGTTGTGGTAGTTTTTCTTCTTTTAAATATAGTCTCTTCCTTTACTGTATTGATTCCCTTTATATATTTAAAGGTTTCTATCATATCCCCCCTGTCTCGTCTTTCCTCCAAGCTATCCATGTTAAGATCCATTAACCTTTCCTTGTAAGTTTTATTCTGTAATCCATGAACCAGTTTAGTAGCTATTCTCTGAACTCTCACTAAAGTATCAATATCGTTCTGGAGATACGGTCTTCAGTACCGCGTACAATACTCCAAGTGAGGTCTCACCAGTGTTCTGTACAATGGCATGAGCACTTCCCTCTTTCTACTGCTAATACCTCTCCCTATACAACCAATCATTATGCTAGCATTTCCTGCTGCTCTATTACATTGTTTGCCTACCTTCAAGTCATCAGAAATAATTACCACTAAATCCCTTTCTTCAGATGTTGAGGTTAGGACTCTATCAAATATTCTGTACTCCGCCCTTGGGTTTTTATGTCCAAGATGCATTATCTTGCACTTGTCCTCATTAAATGTCAGATGCTACATCTCTGACCATTTTTCTAGTTTACCTAAATCATTTGCCATTTAGCATATCCCTCCTGGAACATCAACCCTGTTACATATCTTAGTATCATCAGCAAAAAGACATACCTTACCATTAAGACCTTCTGCAATATTACTAATACAAATATTAAAGAGAATGGGTCCAAGCACAGATCCCTGAGGTACCCCACTTTTGACAAGCCCATGCTTTGAATATACTCCATTGACTACAGCCCTCTGTTGCCTGTCACTCAGCCACTGCCTTACCCATTCAACAATATTGTAATCCAAACTTAAAGATTGTAGTTTGTTCATAAGCCTTCTGTGTGCAGCTGTGTCAAAAGCCTTACTGAAATCTAGGTAAGCAATGTCTACTGCACCACCCTGATCTATTATTTTAGTTACCCAATCAAAAAAGTCATTAAGATTAATTTGGCATGATCTCCCTGAAGTAAACCCATGTTTCTCAGACTCGGTGGATTTGGTCAGATCCTTGCTACACAAGATGATCTTGTGAGTTTCCACCAGGAGAATCTGAAAAGCCATCAAGTGGATATGGCTCCCAAGAGTAGCTTTTGTGTCCTTTACATGTTTGACAAGAGATTAGATTAGATTTCAAACTCTGGTTTCTTTCATAAGAATGACTATATTGTCTGTAGTGTTCTCCAGTTCTCAAACTTCACAGAAGGCCCAATCATATTCTATAGGTGGATATTCCAAGTGAAGATACTACTTTAGTGCCAAGAAGAACTCATAATAGGGGTACCAGCACATCCTCTGAGTGAGGTATCTCCAGTTTGCTAAGGTTTGGGCATAATTTATGCAGAATTCTATTGTCTTGTAAGTAAGAGTTTAATTAGCATTTTTTTGCATTTTGATGTATAGATTTTGTGCGAGCAAGTGCAGATAAGAATCCCAACCATTTCCTGTCAAAAGTAGGCCCTTTCTTGTCTTTTCATGAAAGTGGGAAACTATATTACAATGTTTTCCTACCTCAAAAGGCATCTGTAGGTTGGTGTCTTAGATGTTCATAAGCTAAATCACTTTCTAAGAAGATTCAAGAGGGATACACGTAATTCATAATCAAAGATGTTGTCCTAAGACTGTATGATCTCCATAGATCAAAAAGATGCGTATTTTCATGTTGAAATTTGTTCAGATGATGAATTTCTGATTTACCACTGAACACCAAAATTTCCAGTTTTATTCCCCCTCATTTAGACACTGCAGTTCACACCATCTCAAAGGTCCTAGAGCCTTTGATAGCAGGTAACAGATTGTCAAGAGTCTGGAGTTTTTCTTATCTAGACAACATTTTGATTCTAGTAAAGGATGATGAGTCTAAAGATCTGACTCAGTGGCGGAACTACCGTGGTCTCCCTGGGCCCATCACTCCAGGGGGCCCGGCCACCCTGCAGACCGCTGGGACCGGGTTCCATGCCCGGTGCGTGTTAGTGTATGTGTGTCTGTCTGTATGTATGTTTCTTTAGTGCTTTGGGATGTTACAGTGTTTGTGTCATCTCCAAGTCTGAACAAGCACAAGGTCAGCTATTTCCATTCAAGGTTTGTGCACATTTGATTAGGGTTTCTCTTCATGGGATACCACAAAGTCCAAAATGGACTGCATTGATAGTGAACCGAGACAATCTCCACAAGGCAGATCCTTTGAAGTACTAGGTTATTTATGCAATATACTATATGGTAAAAAACAACAAAACAGACCTCGTATGTAACAAGGGATTCGGATATAGATATACAAAAAAATGCTAAATCCTGAATTCCTGCACCTGAAAGAAGGGGATGGGGGAGAGAGAAAAAGCTAGGTGTAAAACCTAGAGGGGCACTGGGCACATTTTGCATCTACACCTGATGGATCTACAACTGATAAAGTCTCAGATGCATCCATTGCCCGTCTAGGTTTTAAACCTAGCTTTTTATATATATAATAAATATACTCAGTACTTCAGAGGATCTGCCTTGGGAGACTGCCTGAGTTCATTGTCAATGTTGTCCATTTTCGATTTTGTGGCAATTACTGAACATGTAACTATGGGACCAGTACCAGAAACCTGTCTTTGCATTAATAAGGCGTAGTAAGCAACCAGAAATTATAGTGTTAAGAAGTGGAGCAATGTTAGAGCTAAAGGACAAAACCCCTTTCCCACATGCAATCAAGTGATAAAAAAATAAATTTATACTTATATTGCTTGTTGCTTAATATCCCAATTCAAGCTCAGCATATATGGGAAAAAATATATGAAAAGGATCATAGAACAGATCTGCATGGATCAGTGAATATTATTGAATTCTATAAACATTGAATTAAATCAGCTTAATTAGCAGGATGAAAGTTTATTACAGTATTACCACAAATTAAAAACAGAAGATAATAATCAATACATAACAGGCTATAAAAAGTAATAAAAGAATGATAATAATAAAAACATAAAATACACCTAAATTCACTGTTTAGTTGACATATGTTTAGCAGATTACTGCTTAATTGATGCAACAGTGAAGCCAAACACTATCAAAATGTATAGCAGGTTACTGCTTACTAGATGTGGTGGTGAGTACAACGGTGTAAATCCGTTTACCCACAAACAGGTTTTCCCGCACTGGGAGATGTCTCCTGTACCAGAAGATGGCTGATCGTCTGTGGGGTGCCTTTTTATTTTGTCCGGATGGCGTCTGGTCTTGCTTCTGCTTTTTTGAAACGCCCGGCTTCTGAATAGGCTCTGCCCCCTTATTGACGTACTTCCGTATCTACGCGTTTCTCCGTTCACAGACGGCTTCGTCAGGACATAATCCTGATAGTTCTGCCCACAGAATCATGGTGGATCAAGATCTTTCCCTGGATAAATTCAAAATGCCCAGGTATAATCTGTGCATTTGAATATTTGCAAAATTTAATTCCATATTATGACCGTTTTGATGGGGAGCCTCACCCAGAGCTTTACTCCTCCCTGTACAGGGCAGAGATGCTCATATAATACAGAGCTCAGCATACTACAGATATGCCCATACAATAACCACAAGATATCTATAAAATATGTAGATCTGTGCAACAATACACGAACAATACAGAGATAACCATACCACAAACATAGCTGAGAAAAAATTGAGATATACACAGAGCTGGGCACAATACAAATTTATCTGCATAATACACAGAGCAGAGATACCCATACAACAGGGCACTGAGTAAAATACAGAACTGAGTAAAATACAAATAAATAAAACCCAAAGCTGGGCACAATAAGGAGATACTAATAACTATCCCACACAGCCAAGATCACTGTGATTGATTACACAAAGGTATGATACAGAGATACTCACACAGTACATGTCTCTGTAAAATGCTTTAGCTCTTTCTCTACATTCCTAGCCATTTTTTAGCTCTCTGTGACATGATCTCGTCTTCAGTACTCCTTGCTTTGATAACTTTAGCATTCTATAAATATTGCTGCTGTTATGAAACACATCAGGTACTCCATTAGCTCTCAGCACAGTGTGCACATAGTTAAAGCCCCAAAACTGCCCCTATGGACAAAGCTCAGTTAGGGATTCATATATGCATATGTTCTATTCTGGGTGTAATTTTTAGAAAACTTATTGGAGAGTTTTTTTGCAGTTTAGTGAATCAGGATTTGCTCAGAGAAATTGGCTGGCATACAGATTAATTTGCATAGCCATATGCTCATAGATATTGTCTGTCATAAAAAGTTTCAAATAATTAATTGGCTTGCAAATGTCAACGCTGGTTATGATATCAGGAGTTGCCCTAAATGGGGGTATTTTAGGAGCATTAAGTTTGAGGGTACCTCCTTGTAAATGGTGACATGCTAAAAGCACCATCACTAGATGCCTCACATATGGACTCTTATCAAAGACTATAGGAGTGTCAGTGATGTCAAATGTGTCACTCTGAGCATTTTAGAATTATTCCGCTGAATAGTAATGATGCAATTTTTCTCCTATTTGCCTAACATAAACTCCCTTAACCAATCCCCCAGTTTGCACTTACAGCCAAAGAAATCCTTACACCCACCCCCCCCCAAAAAAAACAAAAAAAACAAACAAACAAATTAACCAACAGATCAAGATGATCTGAGAAAACAGACTAAATAGTCTGATCCAGATACCGTACAGTGATCAAGCACCAGGAAATGATTAAATAAAATAAAAATGACTAAAACTAACAAAAAGGATATACTTAGATATACTTACAAAAAAATAAAGCATAACATCTGACCCCCCCCCCCCAAAAAAAAACTGCACTATTCTAATATATTAATCAGTCTGATCTTGGAGATCATCAGTGAATTGTTTACAAGTGTTTTGTTTAACAGTAACAAGTATGGTTATAACTTTGTTAGAACACTAAGGACACTAAGTTGCAATGATCAGAGAAGCAAAGAACAATGTATCAGCCAATGTTTGAATTCATTGGCTGTGACATTTTATCAATGATCACAGTTACCATGATCACATGACTCAGACAACGGCAATTGGCTCATGGGAAACTACCTGTGTTTCCAGGCGAGGTGAGTATGACTGGGGGAAGTTGAAGGACAAAGTCATTAGGTGGGTTCTATGCCATCCTTGAAGGCCACCTTTTGGAATATGGCAAAGCATGTCCTCGTGTCAGGACAAACTTTTTTTTTTTGTCTGTGTGCACTTCCAGCTTGATTTAAGAGTGTGGTTAATAAATTTCACATTTGTGACCTTTGTGCACCTATTTGACCACAGTAAATACTCACAGAGCATGCTCACTATGGTAAAATAGTATGTATTTAACACCTGAACCTTAAGGACCAAGACTCTTTTGTGACACAACGCGTTTGTTATAATAGTCTTTTTTACACTTTTGACATGTGTTCATTCTACCACACTTTCACCCTTTCTGTTTAAAGGGAAACTCCAGGCACCCAGACCACTTCTGCCCATTGGAGTGGTCTGGGTGCCAACTCCCACTACCCTTAAACCTGCAAGTGTAATTTTTACACGTCATGTGTCCTTAAGGGGTTAAAGGGACCAGTGCCAGGAACTGCAGGTCCCCTCTCCCTCCCACCCCCCATCCCATGTTGCTGAAGGGGTTAAAACCCCTTCAGTGACTTACCTGTATCCAGCGCCGATGTCCCTCGGCGCTGGGTCCACCCACTCTCCTCCCCTGCCGACGTCATCCGGCAGGGTAGACCTTTTGACCATGCGCGGCCAGCGGCAGGGGAGATGCTTTCAATGCTTTCCTATGGGGAATTCAGCGATGCTGGAGGTCCTCACATAGCGTGAGGATGTCCAGCGATGTTATACCACACGGAAGTGTCCACTAGTGGCTGTCTAGAGGAGGACTTAACCCTGCAAGTGTAATTTTTGCAGTTTTCATAAACTGCAATATTTACCTTGAAGGGTTAAGTCCTCCTCTAGACAGCCACTAGTGGACACTTCCGTGTGCTATAACATCGCTGGACATCCTCACGCTATGTGAGGACCGCCAGCGTCGCTGAATTCCCCATAGGAAAGCATTGAAAGCATCTCCCCTGCCGCGCATGGTCAAAAGGTCTACCCTGCCGGATGACGTTGGCAGGGGAGAAGAGTGGGTGGATCCAGCGCCGAGGGACATCGGCGCTGGATATAGGTAAGTCACTGAAGGGGTTTTAACCCCTTCAGCAACATGGGATGGGGGGTGGGATAGTCCTGGCACTGGATAGTCCCTTTAAGTGCACGCATTCATACTATATATCATTTTTTTAAATTAAATACCTGGTATTCTTTTAATATCCTATATGTATACATGATATTAAATATGAATAAAATATTTTTAAAAAGTCAAAAAGTTTAAAGAATTATTTTTTTTCTCAGTTTTGCATTTAATAATTTATACACGTGCAATTCAAGAAAATTAATTCAGAAATTTAATTCAAAATAGATCCACTAATTAGTCTTGATTGTTAAAAAGAATGATAGGACTAGAATTTCAATTAAATTTTAGAAGTTATGAAGCAAATATTGTAAGACGTCATACTGAAGGAATCACACTGGCTGAGAGCCGTGGCTGGCCGGCTAAGAGCCATGGCTCAGCCATGGTGAATTAAAGGGATTTAAAGGGCCATGCACCGCACACTATATGATCATTCCCCCCTCCCCCCCAGGTAAGTGGGTTAATCTCATAAGAGCGAACTTTAGGATGTTAGAGTAGGACCTGCCAAAGATGGGGTACATTTACCTTGTGACAGATTTATGCAATGTATGATGATGTACTACTGACTCACAGAGCTTGCTCACTGGAGTTTGCTTGAAAGTAGGCTATTTAAAGTAGTCTCTTTTAAGTAGGAGTTAAAACAACAGGAGTTGAAACTACAAGGGAGTTTAAACCAAGAGGGTAAATATTGTTTTTGTTCACTTGTGTTTTTTGTAACTGGGGATGAGTGCTAGCAAGATTGCGAGTTTAACTCAGTGCACATCATGCCGCATGTATGCATGCCTGGATTATTCTGTCCAGGGTACATACCTCTGTGGTGGGTGTGAGCGAGTGGCATTTCTGGAAACTCAGATTGGAGATCTGGAGAGGCAAATTGTAACACTGAGGGAGATTGATAATCTTGAGAGGAGTTTGCTGCTCACTGAGCAGAGTTTAGTGGGGACAGGTAGTGGAGAGGGAGGAGATAAGACAGATGGGGAACAGGCACGTAGCTGGGTGACAGTGGGGCAAGGAAGTAGGGGGGGAGGGAAGAGAAAAGGTTTAGCTAGTCCTGATCTCATGCAGCCTAACAGATTTGCCCGTTTGAGTGAAGATGTTGGGAGCATCAGCTCAGGAGTAGCTGTACTGCAGGAAGCTGTTCCTGCTAACAGCAGTGGAAACAGCCCCTCTAGTACGGGTGTGTTGAGAGGGTAAGGAATTCTAGACAGGTTGTGGTGGTAGGGGACTCTATTATTAAGAGAGTAGATAGGGTAATCTGCCACTCTGATCGACTCAACCGGACAGTTTGCTGTCTCCCGGGTGCTCGGGTCCGGTATGTTGCCGACAGAGTGGAGGGATTATTGGGAGGGGCTGGAGATGACCCAGCTGTCATGGTCCATATTGGTACCAATGACAAAGTCAGAGGAAAATGGAGGGTCCTAAAGAATGAGTTCAGAGAACTAGGAAGTAAGCTAAAGAAAAGGACCTCCAAGGTAATTTTTTCAGAAATATTACCTGTGCCGCGCTCTACAGCAGAAAGGCAGCGGGAGATTAGAGAGGTCAATGCGTGGCTAAAGTCTTGGTGCAGGAAAGAGGGTTTTGGGTTTTTAGAGCACTGTGCCTATTTTGCGCTTGGGTACAACCTGTATAGTCATGATGGATTGCACCTAAATGGAAGAGGGTCTGATGTGCTGGGGGATAGGATGGCTAGAAGGTTGGAGTAGATTTTAAACTAGTGGTGGGGGGGAGGGTCAAAGCAATCTAGAAAATGGAGATAGGATGGAAAGGAGATGGGCTTTAGCTCAGAACAAAGGGGGTGGAGATAGGGGAGGGGAAAGCTCAGAACAGAGGAGGTATGTAATATTGATAATTCACAAAAAGTACAAAAGACTCATGATGATATTAAATGTATGCTTACTAATGCAAGGAGCCTATATAACAAAATGGGGGAACTAGAGGCAATAGCATACACTAAACAATATGATATAATAGGCATAACAGAAACATGGTGGGATGAGACACATGACTGGGCAGTTAATTTAAATGGGTACACGTTATTTAGGAAGGATAGGAAAAACAAGAAGGGTGGTGGGGTGTGTTTATATGTCAACCATGAGTTAAAGTCAAATCTTAGGCATGTGAAGTGTGACGAGGAAAAAGGTGGAGGCTTTATGGGTAGATATCTGCTTGGGGCAAACAAAGGGAAATCAATTATTGGTTGGGATATGTTATAAACCACCTAATGTAAATATTATTGAGGAAGAACAGCTGTTAGAGCAAATTGAGAAAGCTGCAAATCAAGGCAACACGTTCATTATTGGAGATTTTAATTATCCAGACATATATTGGGAAAGAGGGACTAGTAATTCAGCAAGGGGCATCAGGTTTTTGAATGTGTTAAATGACACCTTTATGTCACAACTGGTACAAGCACCAACTAGAAAGGATGCTTGTCTGGATCTTGTCATAACAAACAATGTTGATCTTTTAACCAACATTCAAGTAAGGGAGCATTTGGAAATAGTGATCACAATATGGTAAATTTTGAAATAAACTCAAAAAAGCAAAAGCAAGTGGGGATACTAAAACATATAATTTAAAAAAG